ATGTTATTTTTATTTAGTAAGAAAAGAACCTACTGGTAGATGTAAATCGCTAAGATTTACATGTACACGTTTGCACTGCTGCAAACTTGTACAGTTCGTGTGTTATTTTGGTTTAAAGCCTAAAGATACTTCAATCCTTAAACCCCTCAGTATATAATACACAGAGACATATACTTCTCAGTGTATATAATTTCGAGTGTAATGTTAGGTAATGTTTTTTTTAGGAAATAGGACAAGTGTTTACTGAAGCGGGTCTTGGTTATATCAAGACCCTATGCTGGAGTTTTTGGTCAGCTGACCGAGGCCTTCCACTGGCTTACCTGTCCACCCCTATAAACATTATGGCTACGATGATAACCACTGAGTAATTTCGAGTGTGTGCAATAATCACTTTGGGCAAATAATGATGGCAGAAATTGACTTTTCTAAACATCTTGTATTCCTGAGCTTAAATTTTTTGGATGTTAATACAGCACCAATACAGTTTGCAATAACTTGTGGAAACAGATCAAGAACTCTTAATAAATTATCATAAAAAGAGTAAACGCGTATGGGTTATTAAATGCTAATTAATAGAGACGGAAAATTAAAAATGTGCAAACCTGAAATTGAATCAGCTTGAACAATGTTAATTTGGTTTGAGTCCAGTTTGAGTTGGTCGAGAGTTTTATCGAACGTAAGTGAACGTTCATAGAGAGTCTGAAGCAAATTGTGGCTTAAGTCAAGATATTTCAACGGTGGCAAGTCCGTGAAGGCGTTTCTGGCTACATGTTTGAGGTCGATATCATTCAGAATGAGATATTCCAAGGCCGGGGCGTCTATGAAAGCTTCGTCGCTGTACTGCAGGTTGGGGTTGTAAGACATATGTAGATACTTGAGGCTGTCTGAGTGAATGTCTGCCATATGGTTGATGCTGTTCCTGAACAGGCGTATATCTGTCAGCACCGGGCAACTGCTTAGCATATCAAATGGGAAAGTGGTCAGGAAGCTGTCTGTGATAATCACTGTCTCCAGTCGAGAGTAGGAATTCTCGAAGGCGTCAGATGAAATATAGTCAAGAGTTGTATGACTAATAAAGATGGAAGAAAACGATACGTTGGCGAAGGTTTCTTTGGTAAGGTAAGAGATCTGGACACGTTCCTCGGTGGTGTTCTTCATGATAATAAAATCGCGGTAAGTATCAAAAGGTATAGAAGAATGGAAGATTCTCTGGAGCTGATCATTATCTTGTATTTCAGAGCAGTCCATATCAATGTGGATATCTTGCTCTTTACAGACGCAGGGATAAATATCTGCTGGTTCAGGACAGTAAGTGGCACCCAATGGGGAAGGTGCGGAATACATGTCTGAAGCAGCGCCAGCTAGGAGGGTGGCAGCGACCACCAGCAGCGTCGTGTAAACCATCGTGCGGCGACGAGGCAGAAGAGGCAACTACTGCCACACCAGACTTGGAAATATCTCTTACTGATCTCTGCACCAGATGATAAAGAGGCATGTCGTTGCCAGACATATATTGCACAATAATTTTTCATTATTTCATTTGCCCGAATTAATTCCATGAATTACTTATTTTTTTTAGTTACTGAAAGTAGAATTGTTATTATAAGTATAATGTCGAGGATTTAAGTGGCACTTTAGACAAAAGTGAAATATTAATGAAACTTGAATACAGTAACCGAGAGTCTTGGTCAACTCAGCAAGAAGTGAATGTCTGTCGCAAAGATTAATTTCCAATATGACTGGTATGCAGACACTACTGCCTCTCTGCAGTGATCTTTGTATCTGCTATGTTCATCAAATGATGAATAAGACATTAACAACGTCCAGCTACCTTTATTCTGAAGTATTTCTTCAATCATATTGATCAAGACTGCAGCAGTGAACACCTTCACCTGGCCTTGAAGGATTCATTACTGGTCTTCTACGCTCCAGGTTCGATACCTTAACATGTCTTTTCTATGGGAATGATAAGCATGTGATTGTTGTTCATTCTTCAAAAATAATGATTGCCCAGGTGTTGCACAGATGTTTTAATAATCAACCATGTGGAGTTGTACTTTTTATATATAGTTATATTATATATATATATATATATATATATATATCAATATATATATATTATATATATATATATCTGTCGTGCGAATAGGCAGAACTTGCGTTCTTTGGCTTAAATAGCAACGCTCATCTTGCCATATAGGAACAAGTGAAAATTTGTGTATGCAATAATTTCGCCAAAATCATTCTGAACCTAACGAAAAGAATATATTTCACTGTGTTTGTTTAGTATTAAATTACTGTAAACAAATCTGAAAAGATATTTATTTGGGTTAGGCTAAAATAAATTGAGCTTGTTTTTATAAGGTTAGGTAAGTTTTCTAAGTTTCTTTTGGTGCAATATTATAAATTTTTACATCAACATTAATGAAGAAAAATATAACATTAAACTTATGACAAAATATTTTAGAAAGGATTTAATTTTAAATGAGTCTTGCTATGACCAGTTTACATATTCGGCACGTAGAGCTTATTATATATATTATTATATATATATATATATATATATATTATATATATATATTTATATTTATATATATATATCATCATTCACTCCATCATGTCTTGCCAGAAGGGTGCTTTACACTACAGTTTTTATACTGCAACATTAACCCCTTCCTTCAGAGTGCAGGCACTGTACTTCCCATCTCCAGGTCTCAAGTCCGGCTGCCGGTTTCCCTGCTTCCCTCATATATGTTACTTTGCTCACGCTACAACCAAGCACATCAAGTATTAAAAAACATATTGTCCTCATCACTCTATCAAATCACGCTCACGCATGCTGCAGGAAGTCAAGCCCTCGCACACAAACCTCCTTTACCGCTCCATCCAACCTTTCCTAGGCAGACCCTATCCCGCCGTCCTTCCACTACAGACTGATACACTCTTGAAAGTCATTCTGTTTTCGCTCATTCTCTCTACATGACCGAAACCACCTCAACAAACCCTTCCTCTGCTCTCTGGACACAGTTTTGGTAATCCGCACTCTCATAACTTCCAAACTACGAATTCTCTGCATTATATTCCACCCACACATTGCCCTCAGGCTGACATCTCCACTGTCTCCAGCCTTCTCCTCGCTGCAACATTCATCACCATGCTTCACAACCATATAAGAGCGATGTTAAAACTATACTTCATACATTCCCTCTTTGCCTCCAAGGGACAAAGTTCTTTGTCTCCCGACTCCTAAGTGCACCATCACCCTTTTTCTCGTCAATTCTATGATTACTCATCTTTCACAGACCATCGCTGACACGTTCCACTACCAAATATTCTGAATACATTCACCTCCTCCATACTCTCTCCCTCCAATTGATATCCTTCTTTCAATCACCGAATCTTTTTTGTTATCCTCATAACCTTACTCTTTCCTGTATTCACCTTTAATATTCTACTTTTGCATACCTACCATATTCATCCACCAATTCTGCAACTTCTCTTCAGAATCTCCCAAGAGCACATCCGTATATATGTATATATATATATATATATATATATATATATTTATATATATAATATATATATATATATATATATATATTTTTATATATATATTTATATATATATGCATATATATATGTTTGTATATGATATGTATAAATATATATATATATATATATATATATATATATATATATATATTTTATATATATATGCAAACGACCACTCTGAAAGAATAGAGATAATTCCAGGCGTTTCGTGACTACTCACATTATCAAGGTTCCTTGATAATGTGAGTAGTCACGAAAAGCGTTGGAATTTCTTCTATTCTTTCAGAGTGGTTGTTTTGCTATTTTGAATTCACCTGTTTACTGTGATCTTATTGCATATCAATATTATATATATATTTATATATATACATATATATTTATATATATATATATATATATATATTTATTATTTATATTATATATATATATATTATTTAGATATATATATATATATATATATATAGATATGTCGTGACGAATAGGCAGAACTTGCGATATTGGCTTAAATGCAACGATCATCTTGCCATATAGCACAAGTGAAAATTTGTGTAGCAATATTTTCGTCAAAATCATTATGAACCTAACGAAAAAAATTTATTTGAGTGTGTTTGTTTAGTATTAAATTATTGTAACGCATTTAAAATTTTTTTAGCTTGGTTAGGCTAAAATAAATTGCTCTTGTTATAATAAGGTTAGGTAGTTTTCTAAGAATATTTTGGTGCAAAATTAAAATTTTTTACATGAACATTAATGAAAAAAATGTTTCTTTAAACGTATAAAGAGAAAATTCAGAAAGACTTAATTTTAAATTGAGTTCTTGCTATTTTGACCAGTTTTACATATTCGGCACGACATATATATATTTTATATTTATATATATATATATAGATATATTATATTTATATATATATTTTATATTTTTTATATATATATATATTTATATATATATATATACATCATTTATATATACACGGTATATATTATATTTATATATTTATATATATATATATATATAGTATAGTTATATTTTATAGATATATTTCTATATATATATAATATATATATATATATATATATATATATATATCAGGTAGTGGTTGGGAGGCAGCAACACCCAGGGAAGTATACCGCCTGCCAGATGTCTGTGAAACCAAAACCTGTAACTGTTTTGCATGATGTAGGATTGCTGGTTTCTTTTTCTGGTCTCATAAACACGACTATGATAACAGGGATATTCTTGCTACTCCTATTACACTTTGGTCTCATTCACAGACACGCACATGCATCTTTTTGTATACATACATCTAGGTTTTTCTCCTTTTTCTAAAATAGCTCTGTTCTTTTTTTTTTTATTCTTCTTTGTCCATGGGGAAGTGGAAAAGAAATCTTTCTCCGAAGCCATGCGTGTGTATGAGGCGGCTAAAATGCCTGGAAGCATGGGCTAGTAACCCCTTATCCTTGTATACAATTACTAAAAAAGAGAGAAGAAAAACTTATAAAACTGGGTTGCTTAATTGTGCGTGGATGTAGTGCGGATGACAAGAAACAGATGATTGCCTGATGTTATGAATGAAAAGAAGTTGGATGTCCTGGCCCTAAAGCGAAACAAAAGCTGATGGGGGTAGGAGAGTTTCAGTTGGGGGAAATAAATGGGAATTAAATCTGGGAGTTCGAGAGAGTTAGAGCAAAGGAAGGGGTACAGTAATGTTAAATTTAATTAAATTATTATTTTTTTTGTTTTTATTTTTTATTATTATTTTAATTTTAATGCAGTTATGGAAGGAGAAAAGGAATAGAATGTGTATATTCAAGAATATGTGGAGTAAGTAAGTTGGATGCGGAGAAGTGGGTCATAATAAGGTGTATGCACCTGGAGAAGAGAGGAATGCAGAGGAGTGAAAGAGTTTTGGGAGATGTTAAGTGAATGTAAGGAGCCTTTGAAACAAGTGAGAGAGTAATTGTGTAGGGGGGATTGAATGCTAAAGAGGAGAAACTTTTTGAGAGGGTGTGGTAGGTAAGTTTGGGGTTGCCAGGGTGGTAAATGTAATGGGAGCTTTGATTGAACTTTGTATAGAAAGGGGTTTAGTTATAGGTAATACATATTTTAAGAAAGAGGATAAATAAGTATACACGATATGATGTAGGCGAAATGACAGTAGTTTTGTTGGATTAATGTATTTGGTAGATAAAAGGATGTTGAGTAGACCTTCAGGATGTACATGTTTATAGAGGGGCCACAGATATTATCAGATCACTTTCTACGTTGTAGCTACCACTGAGAGTAAAAAGGTAGATGGGATTACAAGGACGAAATAGAAGCATCCGGGAGAGAGAGGTGAGGTTTATAAACTAAAAGAGGAGGCAGTTAGGGTAAGAATAAACAGCTATTGGAGGATGATGGCTAATGAGAGCAGAGGCAATTGGAGGTCGAAGAGGTATATTTTTTTTAGGGTAGTTTTAAAAATGTAGTGTTAGAGTGTTCAGCAGAGTTTGTGGTTACAGGAAAGTGGGTGCAGGGGGGGAGGAAGGAGGAGCGATTTGTGGAATGATGATGTAATGTGGAGTAGTAAGGGAGAAAAAAGTTAGCATATGAGAAGTTTTACAAAGTAGAAGTGATGCAAGGAGGGAAGAGGGTATATGGAGGAAAAGAGAGACGTATAAGAGAGTGGTTGAAAGCAATGTAAAAGGGAGCAAAATTAGTGAGTGGGTGAGAAGTTATCAACTAATTTTTTATTGAAAATAAGAAAAAGTTTGGAGTGAGATTAACAAGTTAAGAAAGCCTAGAGAACAATTGGATTTGTCAGTTAAAAAATAGGAGAGGAGAGTTATTAAAAAGGAGGAGTTAGAGGATTGGGAAGAGGGATGGATTATTTTGAGGAAATTGTTAATGGTTGATGAAGATTGTA